CTCGTATTGAAAACAACACGTTTCATCACCAGTTACAATGGCTGGCATGCTTGTCGGATTCCTTCGGGACATTTTTAACATGTCTTTGCAATGCTGAACTCTCCAATCTTTTTGGTCGTCTGTCAGAGTGTGTGGCACGAAGCGCGCACAGACCTTCCGTTTGCCCAAATCTTCGTTCAAAATTCGATAGACTGTGCTTTTCGGTATCCCAGTTTCCTCTTCGATGAGTCTCGCAGATACACAGCAGTCGCTTCGAAGAATTTCTTTGACTTTCTCGATGTTTTCTTCATTGCGAGTGGTTTTTGACGGCGGTGCTCGGTCATCGTCTGCAAGGTCCTCACGACCGTCACGGAACCGGTCAAACCAACGGAAAACCTGTGCACGGGACATGCATTCATCCTCGTACACATTTTTTAGCGTTTCGTACGTTTCTGCACCACTTTTACCCAATTTAAAACAGAATTTAATATTCGCTCTTTGTTCCATGTTGGTTTTTCTACCGACGTACACAAAGTGACTTTACATAAAATATCACACCACAGTGAAAAATCAACCGAATTCGCTCAAATTTTGAGGTTAAGTAGATGAAGGGTAGAACACTCACTTACCATCATTCACTTATAGATGCCGCTGCGCTAAGAACTTTGATGGGACCAGTCTCATCGTATCTGGGACAGACTGTGTATATGCGAAAAATCACTCGGGGTGGAGGATACACGCGTACACGATCACTGCCATTTAACTGGACAATACAGGGGTCCTGCACATTCCAATTGTAATTTAAATTATACTGATTCCTATTATATTCCGATAATTTTTATAACTTATCAGGTTATGATGCTCATTATATTCTCAAGGAAGTAACCACCGCGTTCCAGGGTCTCATCGATGTTCTACCAATGATGAAAGAAAAATATACTTCATTTACCAAACATATTAAAGATATAACAAGTAAAACATTAGACTAGCGAAATCATATTAAATTGTGATTAATCGATTCGTACAAATTTCTCAGTACCAGTCTCGATAAATTAGCATTGTTTCTGACTAGAGTCAAATTAAAAATTGCTCAATCCGAATTTAAAAACTTATCCGACAAAGATTTTGATTTATTAACGCTATAGGTGTCTTTTCGTACGAATATGTCGATTGCAATGACAATCTGCAGGATCAATGTTTACCACCGCGCGAGTTATTCCATAGTTCGTTGATAGATGATATAGTATCTGAGCGCAATTACGAAGGTAGTCCCAGAAGTACTTTTTTTTTTTTACGAGGAGGAAATTCATCATGGATACCCTGACCCTCGAGGAAGGGCCAGGGTTATTCCGGACTCGTACCAGCTAAAACCTCCCGGGCTGCGAAGGGACTTGGATCGAGGCCTCGGAGCCTACGTAACTGTTGATCGGGGTCCCGAGTCCAGATGTCGACCATCGTCGGTCCCAGAGGTGGGGGGAGGGGGGAAGCGAGCCAAGGCTCCTCTGCGACCGCCGCTCCCAGGGGAGGGGGGAAGCCAGCCAAGAGACTCGCTTCGACCGCCGCTCCCCTTTCCCCACCCCTCACGCCCCGCCTCTTAGGGAAGGGGTAAGCCGGCAACGCCTGCGCTTCAACCTCCGTTCCCAGCCAGGCGGGGCGCCGCCAGTACATGCTGTGCGGCCGACTGATCCACCTTCTCAGCTGGCCGCCCTACGTTTGGAGGTTTTGTTGGGGCACCGGGAGTCCCCGCCCGATGCCCCATCCTCCCGCCCGGCGGTTACGGGGGTAAACGCTCCCCTGGCCGCCGGGCGCTCTCTCTCCTGTGGGAAGAGGGAAGGAAAGGGGGTTACCATCCCCCCTTCCTTCACACCGGATTAATTATTGGGAGGGAGAGGTGCTGACTGACCATGACAACGTCACAGTCGTATCCTCTCCCCCCTTATACTCATCCTACTCCCGTTTCAGGGGAAGTAGATGACTGATAGAGGAGGAGGGGAGTGGGTCATTTCCCACCACCCTCCTCCTCCTTGTTCTTCTTGCCATCGTCTGCGCAGTCGCCGGTGTCGCCGTCGCCGCTGCCTTCCTTCCCCCAGCCGGCTGCCTGCCAGCCGTCGTTGCAGCTGGCGCACGTCCGGGCGCCCTCGGTCGGGCGCCCCGGCGTCTCACCTGTGCCCTTCCCGGAGGTATCTCCCCCTTGGGGTGGGAGCAAGCTGAGGGGGTGGGGGGATGGTGGTCGCACCATCCTCCTTAATGCCTCCTCGGAGGAGGAGTCGACGTCCCCCTCCCTGCTTCTCCCCACTCTCCATAGGCGGTGGCGCTCCCTTCGCCTCCGCCTTCTTCCCCGCCCTTCCGCCTCCCTGCGGATCTCCTCCGCGGCTTCCTTCTGCGAGAGGACCGTCTCGCAGAAGGAGGCAAACGCCCCCCATTTCTTCTCACTCCCCACGATTGCGCCGACTATCGTGGGGAGTGAGAGGTCGCGACCAAGTCCCCGTGTTACGACTCCGCGCTCAGCGCTCCAGGCGGGGCAGTCGTGGAGCGTGTGCTGCGCGGAGTCGTGATCGTGGTCGCAGTGGTGACACTGCGTCGTGCACTCCTTTCCTATTCGGCACAGGTACTCACCGAAGCATCCGTGCCCGGTGAGCACCTGTGCCATCCTAAAAGTCAGGGTCCCATGTGCCCTGCCCACCCAATCCGGTAGGGATGGTAGGGCTGGATGGCCTCGACAGTCCTCCTCCCATATCTGGCGTTTGCCAGTATCCTCTGCCATCTCTGGAGGAGAACCTGCCGAGCCTGGTACTTCATTTCCCGCACTGCTCTGGCGAGCGCGATGTCTGCCTCCCCCCTGCTCGATGAGCTCCCGCTTCCTGATGTACATTCCTCTGTACATCAGGGCCAGGAGCTCAATGGGGGGCATGCTCTTCAGAGCTGTCGCCGCCACGTGGGATACAGTTCGGTAGCATCGGGCCACCCTGACCGCCAGCGCCCTGTGTACCCTGCGCAAGGTTGCTTGCGTTGGACGACTGACGGCCAGAGCTTCCGCCCAAATCGGTGCCCCGTACAGGGCCACCGAATTTAATATCCCTGCATGGCGGCGACGTGCCTTCCCGTCTGGTCCCCCGATTCTGAGCATAAGCCTACCGACATTGGCTGAGACTGCTCTCAGCCGGGGAACCAGACGGTTGAAGTGCTCTCTGAAGCACCAGGTGCCGTCCAATGTGAGGCCGAGTTATCTCATCTGGGCCTCTAATGGGATCCTGACTTTTCCTACCCAGATCTGGGCCTGGGGTGGCTTCATTCCCCTTCTATAGAGGAACATGGCCTCTGTTTTTCTTTGGGCCACCACCAGACCCAGATTGCGAATGGAGCGCACGACGCACGCCACCGCCAAATTGGCTGTTCTCACGGCCTCCCCCAGTCTGTCCCCCCGGCTAGGATGAGTGTGTCATCCGCGTAGCAAATAATGCTACAGCCGGGGGGAGGGCAGTTTAGAGGACTGAGTTATAGCCGAGGTTCCACAGGAGGGGGCCCAGGACGGACCCCTGTGGAACCCCGCAACTCATTCCCCTCTCGCATACCTTGCCGTCGGCGTCTCTCCAGGTTAGATGCCGACCCCGGAAGTAATCCTCGATGACGGCCGTGAGGTAGGGTGGGAAGCCAAAGTAGCCACGCATGACCTCCACCACTCTACCCCAGGGCAGAGTGTTGAATGCGTTGGCGATGTCAAGAGACACCGCGACAGCCACCCTTCCCTGCACGATGGCCTCCGAGAGGGACCGCAGATGCTGGATCGCATCCACAGTTGAACGTCCCTCTCGGAAGACGTATTGGCCGTCATCGAGGTCAGGACCTTCCCGGGACATATGCTCCACGAGGCGGGCAGTTATAACGCGCTCAAAGAGCTTTCCCGCCTCATCCAGATGGCAGTATGGGCCAGTATACGGAGGGGATGTCCTCCAGTTTGCCCTCTTTGCGGAGGAGGACCACATTGGCCCTCCCCCAGACTGGGGGGAACCTGCCTTCTCTTAGGGCTCGCGAGAAGATTCTCGCGAGCCTGCCGTTCAGGTACCCCGAGGCCAGGGTAAGGACGCGGCCGGGGATTCCATCGAGTCCGGGCGCCTTACGGCTCTTGACCCGTTTGATGGCCCCAGCCACCTCCTCCTCAGTGATCCCCGGTACCACCCCTTGTTGTTCTGGGGTGGGAGTAATGTACGGGCCTATGGGGTCCTCCTCCCTGACCGGCAAGAGGGTTCCCATGACCCGCTCGAGAAACCGGGGGTCAAGCGTCTCCGTTAATGGGACGTCCACGGCTTTAGCTTCTGCATCACCATCTTGTATGGACGTCCCCACGGATCCGCGTCCAACGAGAGGAGGAGGGTGTCCCACCCTTTTCCTCTGGCCGCCCCAATCGCGTCCCTCAGGGTTGTTGCCGCGAGGCAGAATTCCCTATGGGCGGCCAGAACAGCCTCGGGGTCCGAATCGGGGTCGTATCTGACCCGTCTAAAGGTCCGCCTGAAGTGGACCGACTTTCGCTTGAGATCGGCTATGGTGTCGGCCCACCACCAGGCGGACTTTTTGGGCAGGACCTGACTCTGGGCATGGCTTTGTCGCACGCATGTGCGATCGTTTCCACTATTTCCATAACCTCAGAGTCGAGGCCCTGCTCTTCCATCTGCCGTGGCCAGGTGGCAGCCTCTAAGGAGAGTTCAAGGGCCTCCCTGTCCAGCTGGTTCAGGGCCCATCTCCCTGGTCGGAGTTCTCTTCCAGGACGTTGGGGCCGCAGGCCTTCGGGGGTGGCGGACAGTTTCTCTCAATGATGAAATGGTCCGACAGAGCTTCGAGCTCGTCCGCCACCCTCCAACTCCGCACCCGCTTCAGGGCCGCGGGGGAAGCCCACGTGAGATCAATGATGGATTCCCCCGCGATCCCACGAACGTTGATTTACGTCCCTCGTTCAGCAGGTGCAGGTCAAGGCCCGCTGCCCATTCCTCCACCTCTTCCCCCCGCCTGTCACCTCGCCAGGTTCCCTACAACTCCGACTTCGCATTGAAGTCCCCGGCGATGATAACAGGCTCAGGGAGGTACCGTTTAACGGCCCTTCCTATTTCTCGGAGCCTGGACTTGAAGCTCGGCAAGTCCAGGCTCTTAGTTGAGAGGAGGTATACCCCGACCACAATCAGGACCCCCCACCTGGCCACGACAAAACCTGTCCCGCTACCCAGGTGGGTAGCGGGAGGTGAGCTACCGCTCGCCTTCCATATTATTGCGACGGAGCCCTGATTGTCCCCAAACCATCTAGGATGTTTTCTGGGGACTTTGTAGGGCTCCGCCGCAATTCCCAATCCCGCACCGCGCTCGGTCATGGTGTGCTCGAAAAGTGGCAATGCCTGCCGAGCGCGGTGCAGGTTCGATTGGAGGAACCTTGTGTCCATTATAGTTGGATTAAGAGCTTCTCCGCAGGCCCCTCCTCATCCTCGCTCCTACTTCTTTCCGTGGGCCTATGACACTTCTCCCCCCTCCTCTCTACCTCCATCTCCTGTGTCTCCTCCTGTGTTGCAATTAGAGGGGGACTGGGTCCGTTAGATCTAGTAGTGGAAGGGGTGCGGGTTCTTCGACTCCATCTCCATCCTTCGTTCCTTCAGAGAGAGAAGGGAGCGCGGGTGGCGTCGATGCGGATGCCCCCGCTTACTACCCCTCTTCCCTTCTCTTCCTTCTCCTTTTATTGGGGGGTGGTGACACGCTGGTCTCCCCATTCGGTGGCCCGCCGGTTGGCCCGCCTCGGCACAGATTATGCATCTTGCCGATGCGGTACAGTTGCGGGCCAAATGGCCCGCTTCGCCACACCTGTAACAACTTTGCTTTCTGTCGGCTTCGCTGTTGCAGTTTTGCTGCACATGCCCTCTTTCAAGGCATCTGAAGCATTGCAATGGCTTCACGTCTGACCATTCCGCCTTTACCTGCGTCCATCCTATGGACAGTGTCCCCCTTTCGGCGACTTTTCTTGCTGCCGTTAGGGGACATCTAATCTACAGCGACCTGGACCCTGATGGCATAGCTCTTATTAACCTTGTTTGGACCTCCGCCACCCCGCATCCACCAGCTTGCGCCACCCGTTCCGCAGCCACCTCCTCCGAGGTAGAGATCTCTAGACCTCGGAGTCGGATCTTCCCCATCTTTTGCGAACGGGTAATTCTGGCTTTATCCGCCAGGACTTCCCTCAGCTTGTTTGCAAGGGTGTCTGCCTGCATATTTCTGTTCTCCCCCGGGATCTCCAAGATCAGAGCTCCTGTGACTCCCTGTCTCGTTCTGATCTTGGATATCCCTAGACCATCTATGTCTATTTTCTTCTTTGCTTCCGTTAGGATCTCCTTGTATTTTCCCTTTTCCGCAGAGATCGATATTGCCGCGATATTGGGGACTTTTCGTTTTATCTTTTTCCCCGCGTTTCCTTCCTTCACAATTATCTTCGGAGGCTGCTGTTGCTTCTTTTTATCCTCCTCCTTTCTTTCCTTCCTTTTTTCTCTCCATCCTATCACCTTCGCCCAGGTCTCCTTAGGTTCTGGGATGTCCCAGAAATACCTAACCTAACAAAGAAAATAAGAAATTTGGGGAAAAATATCTTTATTCCTCTACATAGTCTCCTTCCAGCTCAATACACTTTTCCTCACGATGTTCAATAGCTTCCATACACTGTTTATAGTGGGAATCGTCGAGCTCCTCAAAATAGCCATCAACCGCAAACTCCACCTCTTCATTGTTGGCAAATCTTTTACCACCGAGCCATTTTCTCAAGTTTGAAAACAGAATATGATCCGAGGAGGTTAAATCTGGCGAATAGGGTGCGTGAGGAAGCAATTCGAACTTTAATTCATTGATTTTGGCCATCGCGATAACGGATGTGTGAACTGGTGCATTGTCTTGATGAAACAAAACTTTCTTTTTCGCCAAATAGGGCCGTTTTTTCTTGATTTCATCACTCAAACGCTGCAATAAGTTCGCATAATACTCGCTGTTCGCGCGTAAAACTGTGGCGAACGTTCGCCGAGACCGCTCCGCACGAAGCGCGGTAGAGAATGGAACGGACTGCAGAGGACAAGGTGCAAAAAAACTCTTTCACAGCCGCGGGATGTGATTAACGATGTTTATTCCAGCCGATTCACAAATAATCCGAGCGCCGGGAAAAGTTCCTCGGAGCGGCTAGTGGTTGAATCTCGCGGCGGCTGCGAGGTGCGTGAGCAGCGGGTAGTCGGCATGCCCGGCGATCAGAAGCGACAGTTGGCGGAGGACGATACAACGGTTTAACAAAGACTCGCGAAAAAAGACAATAAGATCAACGATTAATTGAACGTCCGTTCAGGACAGCGAGAAAATTCGGAGTGAGATCAGGCGGTGGAATTCTCGTTAGCAAAAGACTGCTTCGAACGGATTCTTGATTAGAAAAAATCTGATTTGGATACACGGCGTTCGATGATTGGCTCAGCCTCGCGACACATCACAAGTTTTGTTTTGATTAAACATTTTCAGGTGTCGAGAGGCCGAACAATAATCACGCCGAAAACCACGAGTATCGCACGAGGCATGAGAATGTCGGAAACTTGCTTTGCACGTATAAGCCGACGTCAAGCAACGACCCAGCGACCGTGGTCGTGTAAATATCACGAGCAGAGTTGCTGATTCTCGGCGAATCTGCAACATTCGCCGTTGATTGTTTTTCCTTCCTGAAAATAATCAATGAAAATTATCCCACGCACATCCCAAAAAACTGACGCCATGACCTTGCCTGCAGATGGAACTTCGCCTTCTTTGGAGCCGATTCTCCTTTTTCAGTCCATTGTTTTGACTGTTCCTTAGTCTCAGGTGTGAAGTGATGGACCCAAGTTTCATCCATGGTTATGAATCGACGCAAAAACTCGGCTTTATTGCTGCGAAACTTTGCCAAACACTCGATTGAAACATCCTCACGACGCTGTTTTTGTTCCAATCGCTCCACCTATCTTGCGCACAGCTTTCTCATGTCCAAATTTTCAGTTAATATGCGATGTACAGAACTCTTTGAAATACCTACCATGTCTGCTAACTCGTGCACTTCCAGTCGACGGTCCAATACCATTTTGTGGATTTTTTTCACCATTTCTGGCGTAGTCATCTCATTTGGTCGACCACTGCGATGTTCGTCTTGGCAGCTCGTACGGTCTCGTTTAAACTCTGCCACCCAATATTTTACTGTTGTAAACGAAGGAGCAGACTCCCCTAGAGTAGAATCTAGCTCCGCTTTGATATTAATTGGACTGAGGCCTTCCAAAAGAAAGTATTGTATCGCATAACGATGACCAATTTTTTCCATGTTTACAAATTCACTGAGAACGTTCACTATTGATGGCTGCCAAACAAATACTAAACAACGTAGCGTCGTCAAACTTCAAACTTAAGCTTTATAAGGTTGGTACTTTCTACCATGGTCATTCTTTTCAAACAACAACCGCTATCTATACGTCAGGTCAGGTACTTCAGGGACTACCCTCGTATATGCATACCATGAATGTATGGGAACAGTTTTCTATTCAAATCTTAGGCATATATAACGATTTGTACTTGAAAACTAATGTTTTGTTATTGAGTGATATTTTTGAAAATTTCCGCGATTGTTATATCAAAAGTTACGGTCTTGACCCCGCGCATTATTACACACTGCCAGATTTCACATGGGACGTGGTGTTAAAACATACAAAAATTAATCTTGAATTGCTCGCAGAGATTGATATGATAATATTTATCGAACGTGGTATACGTGGTGGTCTGAGTCAGTGTTCCGGTAGATATGCAAAAGCCAATAACCAATATATGCAATCTTACGACTCATCGAAGCCATCCTCATATCTCATGTACTTTGATATAAATCATTTGTATGATTGGACAATGTGTCAACCGTTACCATATGCTGAATTTAAGTGGGTTGATGATACGTCGAATTTTGAAATATCATCAATCCCGCTAGATTCGTTCACAGGTTATATTCTCGAGATTGATTTGGAATATCCTCAACATCTGCACATGTAGATCTACCATTTTGTCCAACGCGAATGAAGCCCCCAAGCAAAAGGCAAGAAAAATTCCTTACGATTTTATATAATAAGCAGCGTTATGTTATTTATTATCGCAACCTGCAGCAGTGCACACGCCATAGTCTTCGTATCGGAAAGATTCATAGCATACTCCAATTCTCACAATCTCCATGGCTACGCAACTACATAAAATTAAATACGTAGTTCCGAATGCATCCAACAAACGATTTTGAGAAAAATTTGTACAAATTTATAAACAACGCGGTATTCGGCAAAACAATGGAAAATGTCCGCAATCACGTCGATATAAAACTTTTAACAAAATGGGATGGACGATACAGTGCAGAGGCAATGGTCGCAATGCCAAATTTTCATAGCAGGAGCATCTTTTCAAAAAATTTAATTGCCGTTGAATTGCGAAAACTCAAAGTGAAGTTTAACAAGCCGATCTATGCGGGTATATGTATTCTCGCCATATCTAAGACCTGCTTGTATGAATTTCACCATGAGTACATGTCATCTCTGTATCGCGAGAAATGTAAAGTAATATATACGGACACAAATAGTTTAATTTACCATGTAATGTCCGCCGATGTGTATGAGCTAATGAAACGTGACATTGCTAGGTTTGACACGAGCGATTATCCTCAAAATAACATATACGGTATGCCATTTAAGAACAAAAAAATTCCAGGGCTTATGAAAGATGAAAATAACGGAGCTGTATTGACAGAATTCGTCGGGCTCTGAGCAAAAATGTATGCACTGAAAGTAGAAAGTAAAAAGGATATTAAAGGCAAAAGGTATTTAGAGGAATATTATAGCGCGAACGATCAATTTTGATGATTACACGTATTGTTTGAGAGAGGAAATTGAAACGAGTCGGCGTCAATCGTATATAAGATCCAAGTTGCATGACGTATATACAGTATTCGAAACCAAAACTGCTCTCAGTCCATACGATGATAAGCGATATATTGTGTCTGACTCGATAAATACATTACCATGGGGACATTATAGTATACCATTATAACGTTTATTTGTTTTATTAGCTATTTTACAATTAAGTATGTCATCAAATGTTCTAATAAAACTGTATTAATATTTTATTTTACAATACATTATCCTTTTGTAACCATGAATTATGGGAATTATCGAATCTCAACCATTTTACACATACCTTGTCACCTTGCCTGCGCAACACTTTTTCTACTAGGTATACATCTGGATTGATGATACTATGTAGTTCATGTTCGTAGAAACCCCCGGCGATAGGTTTCTCACGCAAGTCTGCTAGTAGG